TATGATAGAAATCCATCTGTTTGAGTCAGCTTTTTCACTTTTGTGACTAGAAGGTCTGACAAGAACAACTGTAGAGGAGGAAAAGTTTATTTTGGGGCTCCCAGTTTCAGAGGTCTCAATTCATAGACAGCAGGCTCCATTCCTCAGGGCTCAAGGTGAGGCAGAACATAAAGGTGGAAAAGTGTGACAGAGGGAAGCAGCTCACATGATATCAGGAAGCAGAGAGATTCCACTTGCCAGATTCAAAATATATACCCCAAAGATATACTCCCAATGACCTACCTCCTCCAGCCACACCCTACCCACCCTTCAGTTACCACCCAGTTAATCCTGTCAGGGGATTAATTCACCAATTTTATGGATTTAAGACTCTCACAACCCAATCATTTCTTCTCTAAACTTGCATTGTCTCACATCTGAACCATAACACTCTCCACATATGTACATTTTATTAATAAATGGAATCACATGTCTGTGTGAAGTGCCAAGTTCTGAAGACAGTGATTCCAGGAACAATCATTTTTACTTCACAGAAGAAAACTCTGGACCTAATTTGAAAGCTACACAAATTATCTTACTTCAAGCAGGAATGCGGGAAAAAGGTTCAGGAAGGTCCTTTGCAGGCTAATTCATTGGTTGACTCATAGAAAAGAAAATGATGTGTGCCATCTAATGGTATCAACTAAAGCACACTCAAATACTCAAAGATGTTTTGTCTTTTCCTATTCAAGGAACTCCAATAAGAGTTTCAGTAATAACATTTAGCTACTTTTAAAGTAACATGTCCAGGAATGGAGAGCCATATGGAAAAAGATAAAATTTGATCCATTCTTTTTTTTAAGATATTTATTTTTTAGTTTTAGGTGGACACAATATCTTTATTTTATTTTTATGTGGTGCTGAGAATCGAACCCAGTACCTCACCATGTGAGGCGAATGCACTACCACTTGAGCCACATCCCCAGCCCAAAATTTGATCCATTCTTTACTTTCTAAAATGGATAAATTCCAAAGAGATCAGAGAACAAAAAACAAACAAAAACCAAACACCACCACCAACAAAAACACAAAACCTAACAGTACCAGGAAAACCTGGAATAGAAAAACTAGTACAAGCATTCACAGGAGTGAATTGCTTTATAACTGACCAGAATCTAGAAGCATTAAGGAAAGAAACTAGTTAACTACAAATTTGACAAAGAGAAAAAAGCAAAGCAAAATGCCCCCCCACCCGACAATGTATAACCTATATCACAGAGTTAATACAAATTTTCTAATTTTTTTAAAAAAAGGTCATCTCAATAGAAAAGAAAAAGAAATGCAAATAGCCCTTAAATAGATTAAAAGATGAGTTCATTTATTTGTTTGTTTTGCATTTTAGGAGTTATTTTCTCATTTTATTTTGTATTTTAAACATGTTAAGCATTTACAGGCTGGGTGTGGTGGCACACTCCTGTAATCCCAGCAGTTCCATAGGCTGAAGTTGAGGATTGCAAGCTTAAAACCAGCCTCAGCAATTTATCTAGTCCCTAAGCAACTTAGGGAGACACTGTCTCAAAATTTAAAAAAAGGTGGTGATGGTGGGGTGCTGGTGATGTGGCTCAGTAGTTAAGCATTCCTAGATTCAATTCCTGGTATAAAAACAAAACAAACAAAAAAACCCCCAGTTACAGGCTTTTAATATCAAGCTATAAAACAAGAACTATTCAAAGAGGTTTAGCTTCTATTCCTATCCTCTCCTTCACTTATTCTACTCTTCTTACTTGCTACCACTTTTTTTTAGATTTTATTTACTTTTCCTCTGCTTATTTTTGAAATTATAAGCAAGTATCCCCATGTATATTTCTAATTTCCTTTACCCCAAAGTTAGAATATTATACATTGTTTCGTGCATTACTTTTTCCAACTGACTTCTTAGTGGTATATCTTCCATATTCCTTAACTACTTAATAATACATCATTGTATGTATGTACCATTTGCGAAAATGCTTTACATCATCATAATAAGATAAATGCTAAACTATACTGAAACACCATCTCCCATCTGTCAAATTAGCAAAAATTTAGGAGTCTGACCATCCACTCTATTGGAAAAGACATGAGGAAACAGGAATTCTTACATATTGCTGATGTGAATACAAAATTGCCCAAGCATTATAAAGGGGAATTTGGCAATAGTAAATAAAATGACATGTTCTGTTATCCTTTGACTTAGCAATCCCACTTGTGGTAAACTGTTAAACACACACTGGCAAAGGCATATTCTACATGCACAGAGAATCTTTTATTATTATAGCAGAAGACTAGAAATAACCCACATCTCCTACCAATACATTCATATATAAGGCAAGAGAATAACTAAGTCCAGTTTGTTTAAAACACAGTATCTTGACTATATATCCCAGTGGGATACAGGTAAAGAAAAAAAGCCACACATGAAACTTAAAACATTATTTATCAGTCGTATTTTAGCAATGTCATTACTCTTATTCATGTTTTAGTTTTTCTTTGCTCTACTGTTATTCTGTTCTCTCTCTCTCTCTCTCTCTCTCTCTCTCTCTCTATATATATATATATATAATATATAATAAGATAATTAGAGCTAGATGAAGCAAATAAGCAACTATGTTAATATCATTGTGAACCAATATTTTCATCATAAGAGAAAAGAACACACAAAAAAAATACCAAACAAAATCAAAAGGGTTAACTTTAAAAAAGTACACATAACTACAAGATAGATGAACCTTGAAAACATTATAATTAAATGAAAGAAGTCAGTCACAAAAGATTACACACTACATGATTCAATCTATGTAAAAAGTCCATTGAGTGGAAAGTTTACAGAAAGAAGTCAATAAGTGTTTGACAATATCTGGGAGGAGGGAGGGTGGGGTGGGGGTGGGTGTTGAAAGGCAGAGTGACTGTGTTAAAGGTACAGGTGTTCTCTTTGGGTAGTGACAGTGCTTTAAACTTAGATCTTGCTAATGATTACACAACTCTGTGAATATACTAAATACCATCGAATTGCATACTTAAATTGAAAAAAAATATTTTACACGAATTACATCTGAATAAAGGTGTTTAAAGGAAAAAAGCATTCAGACATAGATAAGAAAAAGGCACCTAACATTCAAGAACAGGAAATCTGAGCCATCTAAAACCCAGAACTCTATGAAATAGTTTGGAGACGAGATGAGGCTAAACATATCACAAGTTATTTTTTTAAAGTTACATATGAAGCAAGAAAAGACCAGGAATAGGTTCAATTTCATCTCTGTTGCACATTTCTTGTCAAAACGATATTTCTGCAGGAATTTGCCTCCTAAAGCTGGTTCTACTTAGCTATCTCACCTTCACTTTTCACCAAGTTAATTTCTATTGATTCTTCCGGTCAGTTAATCATTAATGTTGCTCTCCCCCACCCGGTATCTTTTATATGCGCTATCATAGAATCATGTTTCTTTCCTTAGTATATTGATAAAGACCCCAAATTTTCCTTTTCCCTTCAAGGGCTGAACCTGCATCTACTTTTTTTTTTTTTTTTTTTAATATTTTTTAGTTATACACGGACACACTATTAGTGCCTCACATGTGCGAGGCAAGTACTCTGCCACAGCCCAGAACATGCATCTACTTTTGCTCATCATCCTATAACATAATGTACGCTCAATAAACAACTGCAAAAATAACACAAAATGCTTAATTTCTCTTTTGTTCTTTTCCTTTTCACTTAACAGATTTTTCTTTAGATTGGGAAGAGTAGAATAGCTAAGGACTTGGACTCCAAAAGGAGCAAAATGATTCCAAGAAAATGTTCTCTACTTAAATTAATTCGCTGGGCAAACATTCATTTATTTAGCCCCTGACACTATTAACTACTAGGGATACAATTAGTGCATGAGTTCTGTCGCTGCTCTTTTAGGTGTGCACTGTGAGGTGGGGCAGTAGTAAATGTATACCATGTTGCCTGTATTTAAATTGAGTCCAAGTTTCCCGCCCTAAGAGATTACATCCCAGTAAACAGAACATCCCGACGGGATTGCTGGTGTTTGAGAATGGAAAGGCAGGTTGGAGACAGGAGCTGCATTTCAACAATGTCGGAGTTGGGAGTGGTCGCGGGCAGGGTTGGAGGTCCTCCGGGTCTTCTAAATCCAACCCCCTCAGAATGAAGCTTCTGCAGCAGCATCCGCCCGCAGACCTAAACATTACCGCCAAAAAGAAACCTATTTCCATAGCCTGACTTCTCACCAACAACGGTAGATCAGGGTTACTAAAACCAGAGTTTGTATATCCTGACTCAAATTGTCTCACCTCGGGCTCCGTAGAATCGGTTTTCGCCGCCAGAGGGCTTTCAGCTTCAGTCAAGGTCTAAGACAAGATAATGAGGTGTCTATTGAATATCCCCGAAAATATTATCTCGGAAGCAGGCCTGGTATACTCAACACACTTTAAATGGAAGTTTTCTCCAAAAACATATGACAATAAAGGAGCAAGTAAAATTCTCGTTTTTTTTTTTTTTTTTGTTTTGTTTTGCCTGCCACACCCATCGCGATCTCTCCTCTCCCAACCTCCCTAGACAGGCAGCTTCTGGCCACCCTCGGAGGGCCTGATTTTGAAAAGCAGAGTGGGCCAATCAGAGAGGAGCACTGTTTGGCGCTGCCATTTGAGCTGAGTCTGGAACTGCGGGTGTGACGGCCGCGGCGGCTTGAAGGCATGGGGAGAGCTGCTTGGTTATAGTCTGCACTCCGGGATGTGCAGGCCGGGAGCTTCATGCAGGCTGATGGGGAGAAGGAGAAGCCTGTGAAACGGGGTGACGGCGGAGACCAGCCCGGGCGGGGACCGGGACTGGAAAAGAGCCTGAGCAGCCGGCTGGTCCGGCGGCTGGGCTGGGGAGGGGGTCGCGGGAGCTGAGACTCAAACGCCCAGCAGCGTCTGCCTGGGCTGGAGTGGCTAGGGGAACGGTCTTCTTTACATTATCCAAGAGAGCTGGAGTGGGAAGAGTGAAGTTTGGAGGAAAGGGGATCATTGCAAGTGACCGGAAGTGGTGAGAAGCTGAAAATAGGCGTTGGTGCAAGGAACTGAAAGGATCAAGGGAGAAAGAAGGGAGGTCCGTGTAAGTAGCGGAAAGGATTTGGTATTTAGAAAGAAGGTAGGTGTAAGTGAAAGAAGAGTGAAGTGTGGCTGGATCAAGAGGCCAGTTGAAGAGAGTTTGTGTAAGTGGATAGAGGATCGAGGAAAAGCCGTGGAAGTGGCCGGGGCCCAGGGCTGGAGGAGTGCCAAAGGTGGCCGGAAGGCTGCGGAGCGGAGCTCAAACCTGAGAGTGTTTGGAAATTGGAAGACTTGGTGGCGAACGAGAATCAGGAACCTGCCTCAAAGAGTGGGCGACGTATCCGGGATGTGGGATAAGAGGCTGGTCAGATTGGCCTTGTTGCAGCAGCTTCGGGCTGTTTACGGCATTAAGGTCAAGGGTGGACGTGGGCAGTGTGAGCGCAGGAGACAAGAAACAGCAGCCACGGAAGTAGGGGTAAGTTCTGGGAAAACGATTTAGGTTAAAAATGGGTGGTCACACCTGGTACCATGACCAGTTACCAGATCATATATAAGACGTTCACTCTTTGGATCAAAAGTGATCAAAAGTGTGTCTAACCCTGTCCATGTGGTCACCTATTGATATTTAAATAAAGAGCTTTCTTAATTCTTTTCAGGATCTTTTGGTCATTGAGGGAAAGTTGCAGCATTTTCCAACTTCAGCATTATTGAAATGTTAGACTATAATTGTCAGGGAAAAGGAATGGATTTAATAGCATCTCTGGCTTCTACCCAGTAGACTACCAGTAGCTTACTTCACTTATGACAACCAAAAATCTCTCCAGATATTGGCTATTTATTTATTTATTTGGTTTTGAGGTACTGGAGACCAAGAACTCAAGGCAAAGCCACACACTTCTTAATCAATGACACGTTTTTTTAAGAAGTTGGAATGCAGGTACAAAAACAGTGGCAGATGCTTTATTTGCTCTTGGATGTGCAAAAACATTTAAGTTTACCAATACACAAGTTTACTCTTCGGATTCCTCAGTGTATTAAAATTTGTGCATTTAAAAAAAATGAGTTTCAAGATAGTTAGATGAAATTTAACTTAAATATTTGCCAAAGTGCAGCCTTGTATACCTCAGGACATAGTTTGAAAAGCAGTTTCTATAGAGTGTGGAAAAGAGGTCTAAAAGTAACCACCACCACCCCTCGCCTGGCATTTTCACTGTACCAGTGAGCATGGGCCAGTAAATATAACTACTGATGTTTTAAGAGCTGTTTACATATCAACTGGCTTAATTAGCCCTTTATGTAAGTTAATGTTTATAAGTCACCTTTTTATAAAATGACCAAAGGAAAGTATAAATAAGGTCAGTATTTATAAGATTGCTGAAGGAATCTGTAGTATTTTTTTGGGAAATGTTAATGTTTGGGCCAAATTCTGTTTTAAGAATTTCCTTACTAAGCTCTAACTGGATTGATTTTTCATACGTCTCTTAATTTTCTAATTACTTAATTTGCTAGATTGTTATGTCTTTATCTTGACTATCTTTGTACTCCCAAATGTCTAGCATCATGTCTAATAATAACTTTTTTACCAAAAGCTCAAGTATATATGGTAATATAAGAATGCATTTTCTTGTTCCTAAAGTTTTTAATTTACCCACTGATGAAGAACATTTTTTTTTTTTTTTTTTTTATGCCTAGCATTTGTGTTAGTGTAACTGGATTTGTCTTTTTAGGGTAAAATATTTGGAGTACCTTTTAATGCATTGCCCCATTCCGTTGTACCAGAATATGGACACATTCCAAGGTAAGCAGTTTGAAATGGAGAATAAATATTTCAAACTGGTTTTAGATAGAGGGCTTGAAAATAGTTGATTGACACACATATGTTTCAAGTCAGCAAAAGATTCCATCTCTCAACATAAGCTTATGTGAAAAATAAAATTTTGAGCTTTTACATAACTTAAATATAATTTGTGCTCATTTCCAGGATTGAATTTTAATGTCCATTAATGAATAAATGTTAGAAATAAACTTATTTTTGTCTGCTTAATTTTTAGATTTACACCAGTTCTTTTGTCACAGCTCTCTGATTAAATACTATACTAAATTGCCAATTCAGTATTAATTTTTATATTTTTTATTTAAGAAATGTTGGATACAAATATTTAAAATAGAGGTATTTGCGAATATATATTATATAACACTTCAGCTTTTCTATGCCACTTACTATTTGTAAGTAACATTTTGGACTAGCTACATCAAAAAAAATAGTGTTTGTTTTAAGACAATAGTTTTAAAAGTCATATCTTTTCTCTTTAACTATTTTCCCTTTATACAAAGTAGGGTTCATTTTGTCTACTTTAGTCCAATAATTTAGGTGTTAATTGATGCATCATGCAAGAGCATTTACTGAACCCCTTACTGCCCTAATACAATTTTTCTTCATTTGTCCTTAGATATTGATTCATAGTGTAAGGTAACCACTTATCTGTTTTGCTTTTCACATGATGTATGGAAGACTTCATTTTCCTGAAATGAAAACCTATATTAATTTTCAATATTTGGAATTGCAAAGTCACATCCACAGAATAATGACTAAATCTTTGTTGTAATTTCTTGACCTCCTTTAAAAAACAAACATCAACTATCTGTCAGTTACCCTGTATAAGCAGGATTGACATTCACCACTATGCATCAATACAACTATCTCAGTTGTATGTAGCTGGAATACATTTTTATTTGTTGGTACCAGCTGTTGAATATCTAAGTATTTAACATTAAGTTTATTGTTCAAAATTTAAAAATTGAACATCCACCCCTTAATATGAGAAGAATTACAAGGACTGGGATATATCCTACTTTTTTGAGGAACAATGTTGGGGTGAGAAAAACTTTACCTTATTTTTTGGGCTAATGTAGTAGATGATGGATATTTAAATCTATGTATGCTTTAAAGATCACCGTGGAGAGAATAGATAAAAAAAGATGACCTTGGTCATCCATATGTCATTCCACCATAGAGAGGTCTAATAAAAGAAGAGGAGCCAGAAAAAGAATTTGAGGAAGAGTTATAGGGAAACAGCAGGAAAACTAGTAGAGTCGTGAAAAAAGTATTTTTGAGCAGGGATGGTCAGATGTGTCAAATGCGGAAGGGTTAAGCAAAATGAGTACAATGAATTGACATGTATTTAGCAAAGCAAAGGGCATTGGTGACCTTGATGAGAGCTGTTTCATTAGAGTAATGAGGATAACAATCTGGAGAGGGTCAAGTAGAGGTAGAGGCAATAAGTAAGACAAGTCTATGCTCTGAAGGGAAGCACAGAAAAGGAATAAAATTGAAGAGAATGTAGAATTGAGCAGGCACATTGAAGTTAGCATAAGAAGACGAGCCTTAGAGAAAAAAATTAGGAAGGAAGGAGGACAACTAAAAGTTTTTATTGTAAGAATTAAAGAGATTTGTGACATTACAGTTTCTGAAAGTGACAGAATACTCGGACCACTCATGTGTTTTGGCAGGAGAATAGGGTCTGGTCACTTAAAAAATCTCTTTCAGCTTTCTTGTTGATGCCTGCACATCTTTACAAGAGCATATTCAGACAGAAGGACTTTTTAGGAAATCGGGATCTGTTATTCGTCTCAAGGCACTAAAGGTGAGCATGTTCTTGAACTATAACTTTTCATTTGTATCATTTTTCTGATTTAGTTTTTATTATTGAAACATCTAGAAATATTATATAAATAATTGATTAGAATTAAATTCAAATAACTTTTTTCCCAGCCAAATAATCTTTTTTTTTTCTCAAAAGAAATTGTGTCATTTATATAGTGTTTTAAAAGTTTAAAGATTAAGAAAATTTACGAAAGAAAGCTCTTTATTTAGATAATCTGCAATAAAAGCATCCAAAATGCTCAAGATTATTCATTTATTTCAGAATAAACTGGATCATGGTGAAGGTTGCCTGTCTTCTGCACTTCCTTGTGACATTGCAGGACTTCTTAAGCAATTCTTTAGGGAATTGCCAGAGCCAGTTCTCCCTGTTGATTTGCATGAAGCGCTTTTCAAAGCTCAACAGTTAGGAACAGAGGAGAAGAATAAAGCTACACTGTTGCTCTCCTGTCTTATGGCTGATCATACAATTGATATATTAAGATACTTCTTTAACTTTCTCAGGAATGTTTCTCTAAGGTAAGTGGTAATTAAAAATTTTGTGAAATGATTGCTTAATTTCTCAACTACCTAAAGATTTACCCTTGTAGATAATAAATTTCATTTAGAATGGAAATTTTTCTAAAAAAAAGTCCTTACTATAAAAAGTAGACCCTTTTTAATGTAAGAAAGTGTGCCAAGTTATTTATTTTCTTACTGTCTTAAGTCATTATGAGTACTTTGATGGCTTATTGGTCTTTATAAGAATCATTGTCCTCTGAATGGCTTTTTTTTAAAAGTCTTTAAAAATTTTTTTATTGGTACATTATAATTATGCATAATGGTGGGATTTATTATAGCATATTTATACATGCACATAACATAATTTGATTAGATTCATTCCCCAGTACCTTCCCTTTCCCTTCTCTCCAACCTCCCCATGATCCACTTATTCTACTCAAATGGCTTCTGATTAGTATGTTTTAAAATATTTATGGTTTGCTTTGTAAATTTCCCCCTTTCCTTGCTGTCATTGAGTCCATTATTTTACACATACTTGTCACTTCCTAATACTTCCAGTTTTCTATGTGTAGCTTTGAAAATTAGATAAACATGTTTAATTTGTGTGGAGAAGTAAAGTGTGAACTCTGATTAGCATGATATTTTGCTATATATTTAAATATACAAAGGCTATGTATTTTGGTTCTTAATGGGTTTTTTATTTCTGTGATGCTAGAGATTGAGCCCAGGACCTTGAACATGGTAGTAAGCTAGCTAGCACTCTACCATTGACCACTGAACTATACCATCAGTCCTTTTTTGCTTTTGTTTTTTTAAATTATGTTCAAGCCAATTTTGTTGATGAATAGATTAGGGGTAACTATTTTGACTTGTGTGTGACTGATAAAGTAAGAAGTCTTCAAAATGTGCTCAATATGTTATCTTAACTTTCTGAACTTTTATCTTTTTATCCATCTAATAAACCTTTTGTCATTTAAGATCCAGGGAGAATAAGATGGATAGTAGCAATCTGGCAGTAATATTTGCACCAAATCTTCTCCAGACAAGTGAAGGACATGAAAAGATGTCTGCTAACACAGAAAAAAGACTGAGATTGCAGGCTGCAGTAGTACAAACCCTTATTGACTATGCATCAGATATTGGTAAGATACAGTTGTTATTAATAGGATTTATTTAAGTGAGAGAGATCCCAGTTTTTTCCAAGTGAATCATGAAGACAGCTATTAGAAAACTGGTATATTATTATCTATATATTTGGGGCAGGGAGTGAAGAAAGAATAATAATTGTCTTATGAACATTTTCATTTAGGGCGTGTACCAGGTTTTATCCTGGAAAAGATACCAGCTATGTTGGGCATTGATGGTCTCTGTGCTACTCCATCACTGGAAGGCTTTGAAGAGGGTGAATATGAAACTCCTGGTGAATATAAGAAAAGGCGAAGACAAAGTGTTGGAAGTATGTGTCAGTCTCATTTTAGGGAGGAGTACTGTGATTTACTTTTATCTAAAATGTATTTGAACATCAAGAAGCATAAGCTATGATATGTGTCTTTCTGATGCTTATAGCATAGTTGGAAAAACATGACATATGCATGAGAAAAGTTAAAGTGACAATACACTCTAATATTAAGTACTAAATCTTTAGCAAAAATGTAAAATGTCTTCAAAGGAGAAAAGTTCTTTGGGTCATAAGGATCAAGGGACTCCTCAAAGAGGAGGACAAACTAAGCCTCCTTGAAGACTGGATGGAATCAAGGGGAATTTTGTGGAAGATCAGAAAACTTGTATCCTCTAAGAGATAGGAAGTGTGCTATGAAGAATTACAAGTATGGGGAAGATGTAATCTATATCTGTGTCTGTAAGTAAACTAGTGTGACTTGAATAAAGGATTCATTGTATGGATTTGCATGGTATTATGGTGAGCTTGATGTCAGGCTAAAGAACTAGAATATTAACCTGCATGTTGGTGAACCATTGAAGATTTATAACTTGAGGAATGACATGATTAAAGTATTTTTTGAAAATTATGATTTAATTTAAAATTGGAGGCAGGGAGAATGGTCAAAATATGTATGGCGATAGCATAAGTGTGAGATCTTTGAACTGGAAAGTGGTGTGAATTTAGTTAGAAGTGCAAACTAAATAATGAATGAATATTATTGGGAAGGATCAAAAAGATCAAAAGTTATATTATGGTGAGGTTGATAGTAAGATTTCTTACCTCTTGGTTAAGAAGACACAGATCATTTCTCCTTCTTAATAAATTTCTACCACCTTAGGAAGTTTTTCTTTTGACTACAAGAACAAATAGTTAACTATCATTCCTTTTATATCTATTGATTTGTGTTATTGTTTTCTTTTATTTCTTCTTGCATCCTTGTAGATTCCCCTTATGACTTCTATATTATTTCCCTAAGGCTAGTTTATGGTAGCAAAGTACCATAAACTTAAGTGACTTACAACAACAGAAATGTATCTCACAGTTCTCGAGGCAAGACTGCAACCAAGGTGTCAGCTAGGCCTTTCATATCTGTAGGAGATAATGCTTTCTTACCTCTGCCTAGCTTCTGGTGGTATTTCTGGAGCACACAGTTTAACTCATAAATCGTCCTACTACAAATATAGCTATTTCTTTGACACAGATCATTTTTTATTGTCATCTTTCCTTTTGTGATCTCATCCATTCCTGTAGTTTCAGTTCATTTCCAACTAAATAGATGACCACCAGATCTCTAAACATCAGTTCCACTTTACTAATGGCCTACTAAGGCAGTCTTCTGTTCTTCCTTAGTGCTTTAAGTTTGGCATTTTGGAAATGACAATCTCTAGCTCTTTAAAAACCAATTCTGTTGAATTCCATTTTCTAAAAATAAAACAAAACAAAAACAAAAAAATTCTATTTTAACACTAACACCAGGGGCTGGGGTTCTGGCTCAGCAGTAGAGTGCTCGCTTAGCATGTGCGAGGCCCTGGGTTTGATCTTCAACACCACATATAAAATAAGTAAATTAAATAAAGGTATTAATGGGGGGGTGCTGGGATTTGGCTTAGTGGTAGAGCGCTCGCCTAGCACACATGAGGCACTGGGTTCGATCCTCAGCACCACATAAAAATGAAGTAAAGATTGTGTGCCCACCTACAACAAACAAATAAATAAAACACTAGCACCATCACCATTCCTTAGACTCTCAGGCTTTAAACCCTGGGCTCATAACTGTTATTACTTCACCATCTCTATTCACATTTTTCAAATTCTAAGGTTCATTCTTTGCATCTAATGTTCATTCTTTACTGCATCTAACTAAGAATTTCCTTAGACTTTGGGCCTCCTCCTTGAATTCACCCTCTTATTGCTGAAGTCAAGTATCTCACACATCTTTAAAAAACTCTCCTTGATAATACTAATATTTACAGCTTAAATTTTAGTAGAGGTCTTTCATAGGATTGCTCTAGCATGTCTCTCTTTTATAATACCTAAACTTTAGTCAAACTTAGTGATTTGTTGTTTTCAGATACTTGTTCTTTTGCTTATACTGTTTATGATATGTTTTTATATTTTTTCTTTCATCTATTTCTGCTGTCCAGTTTTTCCTATGTTGAAATCATTCTTTTTAAATGAGAATAATTTCAATGTTTTTATAAGTTGATATAAAAATTCGATGTTAAAAGATCACTAGTATCTCTAAGACTTGGTGAAAGGCTGATAGCTGTTAAATTTTAATTATATGATTACATCTTGCATTTTAGATTTTGTTAATGGAGCACTGAATAAATTGAAATCTAACAGAACACCCTGTATTACCCCTCAGCAGGATAGAACTGGTAGGTAGTTTTTACATTTATCTATTTAAATGAAGTCTATAGTCTACAAAAAATAGTTGTAATAATGATTACCTAACATTTTAGTTAATGATCCAATTGAGCTTAATCAAATCCAAACACTTATTTTCAGTATAGTACTATATATTTTATGTTGTGATATTGCTAATTACATTGGATATAATGAACCCAAAATAGTCTGTTATATTTTGAGCTTACTTTCTTTTCCTTGTGGTGATGGGGTTCAAACCCAGGACCTCACGATCACTAGGCAAGCACTGTAGATACTGAGCTTCAGTATCTTTAGAAGCTAGATACTGATACCTAAATCCTTTAATTTTCTTAATCGTGATATTCAGTTGCTTGTAATTTGGATGCTGCTTAACATATGAAAATAGTTCAACGTCAGTTTTGGTTAAGAGCTGGAAATTTTTTATTATATGTTCTAGTATCTTATTCTAGTTTATAAAAGTATTGAGCTGATAACAGACAATATGGTATTTTCTGTTTTCCAGAGTGAAGAAATGAACTGGTTAATCTCAGTTATAATGAAAAGCAAATACAATAGATCAGTTTTTGTCTCAATGTCTTGACTATAATTTAGTTATTAATATTCTTATTTTATGTTAATATTCTTTAATTTGTGTTACATGCATCTTTAAGTCTATTTAAGTTACTGCTCCTTAAGAGTCTTACCTCTTTTGCATCTTCCTTATTTTTATTTTAAGTAATTACAGAGTGTTAATGTAGTTATATAACATGTGTTTGATGAAAGTGTACCTCTCCCATTTTTTTTAATTGATTTTATACTGGTCACATTTTTTGGTTAACTCTAAGAGCTTTATAAGGAAAAATTATATAAAGCTTTTTGTATTTTGTCAGCTTTATAAGGAAAAATTATATAAAGCTTTTTGTATTTCATTTTCAGCTCAACTGTCTGTATCACCAGTGATTCTTACACCAAATGCTAAGCGTAAACTGCCAGTAGATTCTTCTCATGGTTTCTCAAGTAAGAAAAGGAAGTCCATCAAACACAATTTTAACTTTGATCTGTTGCCAAATAATCTCTTCAATGGCAGTTCCACACCAGTACCAGGTAACAAATATAATTTATATAATTGAGTTGTGAACATTAACTTAAGTGTCTATTCTAAGCAAAGAATTATTTCAGGTTAACAACACCTTTAGGAGACTGAATTTTATTTTTACGTTTTATCAAATTTCTGTTTATATTTTTAAATAATTTTTCTGCCTTTAAAAATAGACACTGATTTAATATAATTAATATGTGGATGTGTTTTATGGTCATTTCTATTGCAAGTTATAATGAATAACTCAGAGTGAGAGTTTGGGCTTCTGTGGATAGCATTGGTGCTTAGGTTTTATGTGATTGGACATTCTAAATCCTGCTTTAGTTACATCTGAGTCGATAGTCTATAACTGGCTTTATTGCTGTCTTACGTTGAATTGAAACTGTCAGAAGTTTGGTCATCATGAATCTAGAGTCAAGGTGTTACTATTTAGAGTTATAGTTTAGGAGATGGGTATTTTATAATTTTTATACCAAAGTACCTTTTATAAAAGCTTTAAAACTTTGTATACAATGTTCTTTGTGGAATGGTTTCCATATCCATTTCAAGGTGTTTATTTTTAATTGACAAATAGTAATTTATGGGGTATGGTATGTTTCAAAACATGTACACAATATGTGGATATTTCAGTACATGTACACAAATGTGTAATTATTAGATCAGGACAATTGACATAATTTCAGACATTTACCATTTTTTTGTGTCTGGAACAAAGTCCTCTCCTAGCTATTAAATACTAAATTTTTGTTACTGTAGTCTTAGATTTAATTGGCTCTTTTAGCATGTACAGAATAAAAGTTGACTTATACTAACTTTATGATTAAAAAAATAAATAAACCCTACCATTCCCATCTTGTATTTGTCTCTCATTTAATCAAAATATTAGTGGCATCTGAGTCCTTTCTTACATATTTTTTTTTTAAGAGAGAGAGAGACAGAGAATTTTAATATTTTTTTTTTTTTTTTTTTTAGTTTTTTCGGTGGACACAACATCTTTGTTTGTATGTGGTGCTGAGGATCGAACCCAGGCTGCACGCATGCCAGGCGAGCGTGCTACGGCTTGAGCCACATCCCCAGCCCATCTTACATATTTTTTGATTTCAGAAAATGGAATTCAGTAGCTGAGTTTTGAACTTTTCTCCCGCAAAGCCATTAGTCATTTTGTTTTTTTCCTGTTATTCAAAGACTTATGCTTTCCTTAAATTAAAGGGAATAAACTTGTGATTTTTGAAGAAAAACCCTCTTCAGAGGTTCTGTGTGGCTCTTGAAAGTGTAAGAATTCTGATGATTAACATCTGTAGTTATTTCAGGAGTAAGAGATTAGAGATTCAAACTCCTTGGAAGTAACATTAGGTCTTTCCAGTTTGGAAGACTTTACAAATGGCAGATGGGAATTGTAGTTTTACCTACCTTTACTTATTAGCATAACAATATCTTCCCTAAGGAATGAACCTGTGATTTCTTCTCTTCCAAGCTGCCCCCTAAAAGCTTAAACATTCTTATGTTTTTTTAACATTAATTTGAACCTGGGTAATTAGTGACTTCTTTATATATAAAAAAGTTCCACAACAGTTCCTATTATTTTTAACTCACCATTTTTCTTTGACCCAGATTTTTTCATTCATTATTTAATAAATTCCATCTGAAAGAATGAAAATAGGTTGATTTCTAAGTAAATATTTATATAGCAGATAACATGCTTTATTATATATAAGCATTAATCTATAGTCCATAGAGTATGTATTTATAACATTTTTTTTATAGTGTAATAAATTTTACATAGTACATTTTCTGACCATGCCTCCTTTTGATCACTGATACATTTTCAAGATGACTAGCCTGTAGCCCTGGGATAAAGCTACCTATGGCAAATTGGTTGTATTAGGTTAACCAAAGCTTTCTTTAGCCAAATGTACCCCAAAGTCATGAATATCTCTTTAAAATTCAATAAAAATGAATAGAGAGAATTTGTTTTTTCTAATAACTTCATTATTTTCTGTGGTGCCAAGAATCAAACCTAGTGCCTCACATGTGCTAGGCAAGTGCTCCACCACAGATCCACAGCCTCAAACAAGATAATTCTGGTATATACTGGGTATAATTTAGACATAAGTTATATGGAGCCCTTGTTTATAACTATTTCACTTTCTTCATAATTTTTTTTTTTACTTTAGTTGATTTCATGATATAAATGATGTTGAACAACTCAATTAAATTGTTTCTATTGTGACCCAGTTATTCACAGGAAAAGGCAGTGGCAAAGTTAATTATCAGCATTGATATAGAAAATTAGGGGTTTTGTTGTTATTGTTGTTTATTTTTATTTTATGTTTGTTGTTGTTGTTTGGTAGCAGGGATTGAACTCGGGCACTCGAGCACTGAGCCACAGACAGGGTCTTACTAAATTGCTTAGTGCCTCGCTTTTGCTGAGGCTGGCTTTGAATTTGTGATCCTCCTGCCTCAGCCTCCTGAGCCACTGGGATTACAGGCATGTGCCACTGTGCCTGGCAGAAAATTAGTTTTCATTTGACAAAATTTTGAACAAATTATACTCCAGAATCAGTAAATAGTGATTGGCTAACAGATGCATTCTGAATACTCAGACAACCAACACATTTGTCAATATTTATTTTTCATAGTAGCATTAATATTTTGTACCAGAGACTACACTGGACATTGTGTGATATACATATGTGTGTGTATGTAATATAAATATTCATCAAAGAAGTCTTATTTTCAGAGTTGACCTGTTTTGTAAGTGGCTAGGGTGGGGGATACTCAATTCTCTTCCATAGCTTGCTCTCTCCAATGTATGACACTGTCCAGCCCTTCCTTGTATTATCAAGAGTTTGAAGCAAAACTAATGTAAAAGTTGTAGTTAGTGTAACCTTTAATTGGCCTACTTTTCTTTTAGTTGGGTCAGTTATTTTATATCTGAAGTTTCTAACCAGAAATTTTGATTTTTGTTGTTGCTTAGAGGAGGAAATCGAGGCTTTAAATCTAATTGCTGCTTTTACTATTTTATACTTTGAAAAAGAAATAGTATGTGTGTTATATTGCATGTGGTTATTTTTTATAGTTCACTTTGATGCAAGCCCAGAAGTGTCATCTCAGAGTTCACTCTCTCCCATAGCCATCAGTGGAAACCATTTGACCAGCACAGATGTGCTAAGGCGAAGTAAAAGGATTGCAGGCAAAAAAGTCTGCAGGTAATTTATCTAAGACATTTTGTTTTCATTGGACAGATATTTGGTGTGAGTGTATATATATTATACATAAGTAGTAATAGTATATATCATGTGATTCAAATATGATTCTTGGTCAAATATTTTTTCATTCTACCAAGAATCATATTTGAAACATAATTTGTTAAAAAAAAAAATCCCTTCTATAATTCTTTCTTGTAATCAAGTGCACTTCACACATTAACCAGGAATACAGTTCCTAATTTGAGTTCATTTTGCTTACTTAAAAATCTTATTTTATGTCAATATTTTAACTTTTCCTGTTAGTTTAAAAAACTAGTCTAGTCTAGTGATCCTGGTTTATAAGCAACTAATATTGTGATAAATACATTATTTATATATGCAAATAGTGTATATGTATCCTTTTTTTGGCATCAGGGATTGAGCCCAGAGGTACTTAACCACCAAGCCACATCCTCAGCCCTTTTTATTTATTTTTTATTTTGAGACAGGGTTTTGCTAAGTTGCTTAGGGCCTTGCCAAGCTCCTGAGGCTGGCTTTGAACTCACAATCTTCCTGCCTCAGTCTCCTGAGCTGCTGGGATTTCAGGCATGAATCACCAGGCATTTATGGTATTCTTTTTTTTTAATATTTATTTTTTAGTTTTAGGTGGACACAGTATCTTTATTTTATTTTTATGTGGTGCTAAGGATTGAACCCAGTCTCATGCATGCGAGGCAAGCATTCTACCACTGTGTCACAACCCCATATCTTAAAGTTTAACTAGTTTATAAGAATTTATTACTCTGTTCATTTATTAATAATATAATTTTAGGGGCTAGGCTTGTGGCTCAGCAGTAGAGCGCTCACCTAGCACATGCAAGGTCCTGGGTTTGGTCCTCAACACCACGTAAAAATAAATAAAAGGTATTAAAAAAAAAAAAAAAATATATATATATATATATATATATATATAATTTGCTGTATACTTTCTTAAATTTCATTTTGCAAGAATATCTGATATTTTTGCTATAAAAAGATGTTTTAAATTTCACTTTTTTTAGGGTGGAATCAGGAAAAGCAGGCTGCTTCTCTCCTAAAATCAGCCGTAAAGAAAAGGTTAGAAGATCTCTTCGTTTGAAATTTAGTCTGGGGAAAAATAGCAGAGATGGAGTAAGTGTCTTATCTCATTAATCTGTTTATATTAGCATAAAGCTGAAGGCTTGATAATAAAAGACTACTTTCAACCCTACTTTCCCTCCATCTACTATACCATTCTCTACTCCTCTTTATAGCAACACTTTTGTCCCAATAATCTCATGAAACTGCTCTTACCAAAGTTGCCCATAAATTCAGTGTTGCTTAAACCATCAGTTAAATATAATTTCTTCTTTAACCTGAACCTGTCAGCAGCATTTGACACAGCTCCTCTTTGGTATACTCTTCTTTCCTTGGCTTCTTCCCTGCCTTTTCAAATTACTTTGTAACAGAATGCCCAAAATTTAGTCTTTAGGCTTGTTTTCTGTATCTACTCACTCAAGGAAACAATTAGCCTTAAACTTAGGACTTTCAAGTTTAAGTTCTCTCAGAACACTCTCCTGAGCAAATTGACCTTTTTCTTGGCTAAGCATGTACTAAGCCAAGTATTTTTCTTTTTTTATTTTCTTTTATTTATTTTTTTGGCGTGGGATACCAGGGATTGAACCCAGGGGCACATAGCCACTGAGTCCCATCTGCAGCCTCCTTTTTTAAAATTTATTGTTTTTATTTAGAGACAGGGTCTTGCTAAGTTGCTTAGGGCCTCACTAAGTTGCTGAGGCTAGCTTTGGATTCACAATCCTCCTGCCTCAGCCTCCCAAGCCACTGGGATTTCCGGCCTCAAGTATTTCTTAACATCTGCCTATCTGAATTCCTTACTTGGATTTTTTCCTGAAGCATAACCTGTCCCAAGCATAGTTCCTGAGATGTGTTTCTTTGGTGCTCTTCTACCCTCCCCATACCACACTTCCACTTGCAGTCTTCCTCATTTCAGTTATACAACTTATTCTAATCACTTAGATGAAAACCATGGCACATTCTTGTTTCCTTAGTTTTTCTCTCTTGTACTACCTCTAGCCCATTAGAAAAGCCTGTCTTACTTCTGCTTTGAGAGCATCTCCAGACTGATTCATTCTCCTCAGTGCACTTTTCCCACTTTAAGTTCCATCTTTTCTCAGCTGGATTACTGCAGTAAGCACCTTTTAACAAATAGATTAACTTGCTTCAATATTATTGCCAAATGATTCTTTTAGTACTCAGATTAGGTCATGTTACTTCTCTTTTCAGAACATTCCATTGACTCTTCATTTCATTCTGAATAAAAAGAATGAAAATAATAATTAGAATAATAATAAAAATAAAAAGGATAAAAAAACCACAGCTCCTATATTGACCTATATAATATTCCACATGATCTATTCCCTGGACATGTCTCTGAGCTCTGCTCCTGACAGTGCTTCCTTGCTCACTCTGCTTCATTCACTGACCTCCTTGCCTTTTGTTGAATGTGCCAGACTTTGCTTTAGCCTTAGAGACTGCACTGGCATTTTCTTCTCCCTGAAATATTCTTACTCACCCCTTGAATTTTTTTTTTGGCATTACTGGAATTGAACCCAATTACACCCTACCATGGAGTACATCTCCAGTCCTTTTTATTTATTTTATTTTGAGACAGGATTTTGCTAAATTGCCCAGCCTGGCCTGGAATTATTGATCCTCCTGCCTTAGCTTCCTGAGTAGCTGGGATATCAGGTGTGCGCCGCTGCACCTGGCTTCCCCCTTAAATCTTCATGGCTCTTGCCCTTAGTTTTCTTTACTCACAAATCACCCTATTTAAAAATCACACTCCTACCTTTACCACGCTATATCCTCTATACTGTTTTACTATCCTCCATAGCAGTTTTTACCTTGTATGTTGTATTTATACATATAATTTATTGTTTCTCTTGTTTTGATTGAATCTCCTAATCTACAATATAAATTTCATGATATTAATATTTTGATCTTTTTGTTTATTTATTTTCACTATTTATGAGCAGGCCTAGAGACAGCATAGAATTTGGTTTTAATTAGTAAGTATGGGAGGCTGTTTTTATTTTATATCATTTAATACCAATTGGTGTGTGCAGTTTCCATTAGCAGACAAGAATATTTGTGTTTGCTATAAATTCCCCCAATTATGTCTTTTTATTCAGCTGTAGATTTTGATACCTACTAAAAAATGTACTCTGTCATGATTGTTTGAATTAACTAGGTTTACTTTTTAACCAAAAATTTCAATTTTTCTTTTCTGTACAGAATGGATGTTCTGGTGTCAATAGATATGAAAATGTTGGTCGGAGACTTGCAAATCAACAAAATTTAGAAAATAGGATTGAATCTGTAAAAACAGGCCTACTTTTTAGCCCAGATATAGATGAAAGATTACCAAAGAAAGGTACATTTACATGATATTGTTAGAATTTTACCACAAAATCCTGTTTTAGTTATCTTTTTAATGTAAAGCTATATTAAGCAATATGCTAATCTAGAAATTAAAAGTTTATGTTTGAAAGTGAAAATATTTGACTTGTACTGTATTTTTCTAACAGTAACTAAAGGATACTTATAAGTGTAAATATCAAAATATTTTACTTTTTATAGTAAAAATTATTTCTTTTAACACAGGTGTTTAATTTTTTAGAAGTAAATGCTTAATACATTTATTTGCCAGGTATTTGGGTAATATTTCAAAACTAGATCAGATATAATGGATTAAAAGCACTTAACTGCTTCATTTTAGGTTCAAAAAAGATCAGTAAGTCTGAGGAAAACTTATTAACTCCTGAGCGACTAAATGAAACAAATTACCGGATGTCTTGGACAGGACCTAGTAATTCAAGTTTTCAAGAAATGGATGCAAATGAAGCTTCTCCAATAATGGGAAATCTTGAGGTGGGAAACTTTTCTTTGGAACCTGATATAACTGTTGAGAAGTCACCTGCTACATCATGTGAACTTAGCCCTTCCACTTTACACAGCAAGCCTAACAGCAGTGTAATAGGAAGCTCCCTTAGTGGGGATGAAAATAACTTGACCTCAGAGACTCTGGTGAAGATTCAGAAAGCATTTTCTGAGTCTGGAAGTAATCTTCATGAATTGATAAATCATAGGCAGTCATCAGTTACTAATGTGGGGAAAGAAAAATTAAGTGAAACATCTGATATACAGTATAGTCCAGAGAAAAATCTATTTAAAACTAATGATTTGACTGTGAGAGAATCAGTAGAAAAGTATGAAAACCACACTGGTAAAGACGAAAATTGTTTTTCAGAAATAGACCTCTCACCATATCAAACTCAAAAATTTGGTAGGGAAGCATCTGTAAAATGTTACTCAACAGAGATAAAGGTAGAACATGAAAAAGACATTCATTCAAAAGATTACTTAAATGAGCAAAAATTCCCTAATGATGAACAAATTAAGGAGCAGTGGTACCCACCAAATAAACTAAATACTAAATCAAAGGAGAATGAGAACATGATCAAAGAGAACTTAGTGAAATGTACAGCTTCTAGGGAAGAAGAGGATAAATCCTCTTTCTCACAGCAGAGTACTTGTCATATAACAGCCCTTTCTAAACCCAGGCCTATGAGAATTGCTAAACAACGATCACTTGTAGAAAAATGTGATAAAACGGTTTCTGAAAGTTTACAAATGACAGAGCATGGAAAAGTTTCAGATCACATACAGTGGTTTAATAAACTTTCTTTAAATGAACCAAGTAGAATAAAAGTGAAGTCACCTCTTAAGTTTCAGCGCACTCCAGTCCGTCAGTCTGTCAGAAGAATTAATTCTTTGTTGGAATATGACAGACAACCTAAACAGCAGAAGTTGGCAAGTCTTGGTGATGTTGCTTCTCCCCTGGTTAAATCAGTGAGCTGTGACAGTGCTCTTCCCTCTTGTACAGAAAGTACGTCAAAAGATTCCTCTATTTCACATATGAAGTCAGTTCCTAAAGATCAGAGGTCTACATTACGTGAACAGTCTGTCATTGGTGAAATTTCAAAATCAAGCGTGGAGTTAACCTCTACATCTTCCTTAAAGAAGAAGAGGCACCCAGGTTCTGTGAATGCTTCTCTTGGGTCTACTAGAGTTTGCAAGCAGGAGGTGACATCGGATGGCCATATTAAGGTTCCCTTTGATGACCTGACTAATCATAATATATTAAAATCTGTTGTAAATAACAATGTGGGTTTTTCTCCTGGGATAAAAAATAAGGTCCTTAGGAAACCATCAGAAAGAGAAAGGGTCTGGTACAAAGGTTCTCCAAAAAATCCTATTGGAAAGACTCAACTACTACCAACAAGTAAACCTGTAGATTTGTAATTGGCAAATGTTATACTTGACATTAATGTAAATAAAATTAGCAATTGATTATGTGACTTGTAGGATAATCTACATATTAGTTTGTAGCTCAGGAGTATTGTTAAGCAGTAGGTTTTCTCAAACATTTTAATTTCACAACATAACAACTTGGATTTTTATACTTGTACATGTGACTACTATGTTTTTCTTAATTGTAGCAGTATTTAAACTTTAATTTTGTTGTGATCTCTTTGAAACTTACTGTTTTAAAGAAATTGTTGCTTGGATTTAGAAAAAATTAATTTTTGAAAATTGCATGATTTTTATTTTGTATGTGTGATGGGAAGAGTGAAACAAGTTGTGTCTATTTTTTTGTTATTCAAGTCAGATAAGGTTTCTATTAAAAAAAAAAATCTGTACTATGGAAAGGGAAGGGGTAAGCCCCACAAATCTTTTGTCTTGAATTATATTTATGGTTATTGTCTTTACCTAAATTCCTGGAAATCCATTTACTTCACTCTGGTATCTTGATACTTTATTCCTATTTTGGGGCAGATTCATCTGGTTTATGTATCTCCTGTAAATATACAGTTGTGTTCAATGATGGCTAAAGCAGAATGATGACTAACCTGTGCTCACACATTATTTTTAGGCCATACTCTGTTTCTAAAAGTAATTTGCACAAATGCATTTGTATCTGTTTTGTCCAATATAGAATTGGAAATTATTTAAGGAGGATAATTGAACTTGAAAATTTAATCAAGATGATTTTTTAAATATTGCAGATGCTGGATTTTAGAATTTGAATAGTAGATGCACCTCTGTAAATTTTATTTGGATAAAACTTATGATGGTTTTATCTTGTGTATAAATGTTATTTATTTAGCATAGATATTAAAGATAACTTTCTGCAAAATGACTTGCCTGAGACTCAAATCCAAAGTGGAATCCAAAGTGCCATATCTTGAATCAAATTGTCAAGCATATCTGTCTAAATTTATTTTAAAGCTTTTGTCCTCTTTTCTATATTTATAACCTCAAAATTAATCATTTCTCAAAACTAATCTGTAGTTAAACACATGTTTATCTGATATCAAAACAAGTTTGTAATATAGACTATATATACATTTTAGATGTTTATGGTACAGGTTGAGGATACCTTAATTAAACTGGGACCAGAAATGTTTCAGATTTTGAAATATTTACATAGACTTCATTGGTGGAACATTCCTAATGTAAAATTTGAAACACTTTTTAGGATGTTGTGGATCAAACCAGGGTCTTGGTTATGTTCCGAATGCATTCTACCACTGAGCGACACCTCCAGATTTTTTTTTCTTTTTATCTATAATCTGAAACTTTGATCCTTGTGTCAGTGTTCAAAACACTAATGATTTCAGAGCATTACAGATTTTGGATTGGATTAGGGATGCTCAGCCTATATTTCTAATAGTAAGTAGAGGCAGAAAGCATTCTTACATTGAGATTTATGTTGTCTGACTTAAAGCAGTTTTCACTTCTAAAGTTTTTGATGTCATTTTGTAACTGTGGGGAAGAGGGATAAAATGTTGAATTGGAACACTAATGCAGTAAGAAGGCATGGGATGTTAACTGTACAAATCACCTGAATTACTGGCTTTTCTGAAAGATGAGTCAGTAATGAAAGATGTTCATTGTTTTAAATACCCACTCCTATTTTTGTTAGCTAAAAGCTGCAATACAATATGTGAGAGTATGGAAATCAATAGCTTGGAAATAATTAGAGAAAGTCTAAAAAGTTAGAGTTTAGAGTTGAATTAATGTCTTTTTCTTACACAGAACAGAGATAATGTTAACTTCATGGCATTAACAGTGAACAATACTAAAATAGAATTCAGGACTTAAAGAACTCAGTTACATCAATCATAAACATTTAAAACCACACCAGGCATGGTGGTGCATGCCTGTAATCCCAGTGACTTGGGGGGCTGAGGCAGGAGGATCGCAAGTTCAAAGTCAGTCTCAGCAACTTAATGAGACCCTATCTCAAAATTTTAGAGAAGGGCTGGGGATGTGGTTCAATGATAAAGTATCCCTGGGTTAAATCCTTGGTACCAAAACAAAACAAAAACATAATGGTCTTTGAGCCTAAAAACAACAGAAAAGTAATCAAGGAAGAGAAAACATTAGGAAGGAGGCTAGGCCCTAAGACCAAAGGCCATGTGTCTCATGAATGACTTTTTCTAGTCCTGCTGCAGAGAAATACTGTAGATAATAGGTTTGCTGCATAAAGCTAAGGTAAAGAGATGTAGATTCTAATCTCATCAAGTTAACTTAGTTATTCTCAAAACCCTAGGTGTTTCTCTCTCTCTCTCTCTCTCTCTCTCTCTCTCTCTCTCTCTCTCTC